CGAAGCCTGTGGGTCAGCACAGAAGCCATGCTGTCTGGGGTGCATCCTCAGGCTCAGGGTAATGGTGTAGGCAACTTGTGTCCAGTCTGGTTAGAACGTTTGGGAAGAGGCTCACCGGGGGAGAGCAAGTCCCACCCTGAGCAAGGCCAAGGAGCTGGCCCATGTATGACACAGGCAGTACAGCGGGGAGGCTGTGGTCAACAAGGGTCTCTGTGAACGTCCGGGCCTGCAGAGCTGCAACCACAGGCCTGTTTCCTCTGCCTGAAGATGTGAGAAAGTGGAGGCTGCCCTGGGCAGGGCTGGTCTCCTTCCCCCACCATTGTGGCCTCTCAAGGTCTGAAGGGACTTGGATGTGGAAAGATCTGTGGCCTAAGCACCTGAGATGTGGGCCTGGCCCTGCCTCATCCCGGCTTCTAGACTGTGGGCTCATCAAGTACTGTAAATGGGCCCTGACTTTCCTCATCCATGAAATGGCCTCTCACAGGGACCATGCCTGTGAATAACAGAACCTCAACACACTGTGGAGAGTGACTATGGCTCTCTTGCTGCCCAAGATGCTGGGAGGTGACTGAAATCCATATCTGGCAGTTGAATATGTCCTGGTGTGGTGCCAGCATGGAGTCTGTGGCGCCCCTCCAGTGTCCCTGACCTATAGCTGCTGGGGGCTCTTTCCTGGCCCTGGGACCCACCCCATGCAGTGTTTTTCACAAGCCAACCCTCCTCCCCTGAGAGGCTCCCAGGCGGTGTAGGGGCAAGGACAAGGGGCATGGCCAACTTGCTCCCCATGACACTAGAGTCTGGCCTCCATCCAGGAGTTTCTACCCCCGACGCTCAGGGACTGAGCCTCCTGAAGGACCATCCCCTTTATGAGACGGGAGCTGGGGAAGAAGGCAGTGTTGATGCTCTCCTGTCTGAGGTGCACAGAGCAGGTCGGTGGAGCCCAGAGAAGATGCAGGGACTCGTTGCAGGCCACACTGTGGTTGGGACAGTGGCTGGACAATGGATTTCTCGGGGATCATGGGTGGGAGTCCAGCCCCTGCTCCTGACCTGCTGAGTGACCTCTGATGGTCATACAAACCCTGAGGATGGGCTTCCACATCCAAAAGTGGATTTACCAGCTAATAGGCTGAACCGTCAGTGCATGTCCCCGGCCCTTCTGGAGGTCCAGCCTCAGGATCCAAGGGTGTGAGCAGCTGAGGAGGAGCCTCAGTGGGCGAGGAAAGGGCACTGTCCGGGAGGTACTTATGGTGATGCTTCTCTGGGTCCATGGGATACAGGTTCTCAGAGGTCGCCCGTCTGGGGAGAAGAGCCCTGACCTTCAGCAGGTGGCCATGAACTTGGGCAGCTGAGCCGGTGGCCAGACGAGCACGTCCCTGCCCCCTGCTTGTGTGTGAGAGCAGAGACAGGGCTGACAGAGCCTTGGGGGGATGTGCAGGTGGGGGTTGCCCTGTGTGTGTGGGGCATGGCCAGGCCTGGGTGCCCAGAGATCCTGGGGTGCCAGCAATAGGGAAATGCCCATATTTGATGGGTGAGGTGTTGACTCCTCCCACAAAGCACTTTGTTCTTCTGCGTCTTCCTTAGGCACCTGACAGTTGAAGCGCAGAGAAAATCAGAAAATGTGACTTCAGGGGCGCCTGGGTGGCTTAGTCGGTTGAGCGTCCGACTTTCGCTTAGGTCATGATCTCGCGGTTCGTGAGTTCGAGCCCCGCGTCGGGCTCTGTGCTGACTGCCAGCTCAGAGCCTGGAGCCTGTTTCAGTCTGTGACTCCCTCTCTCTCTGACCCTCCCCTGCTCACGCTGTCTCTCTCTCTCTCTCCTAGAAATAAATAAAAAATATTTAAAAAAAAAAAAAAAGAAAATGTGACTTCTTAAATGGTGTAAAGACAGACGACAGGCCCAGAACAGGTGGGGTCCCCATGTATGGTGGTTACTGTGACTCCATGACTGGCCATTAGCTGTCTCTGGGCAGCAGGGCCACCGGGGTGAGTGTGAACTCAGGAACAGAGTTAAGGGTTCCCCCGGGGACCGGCTGGGTCGCTGAGATCACCAGGCCGGTGGTGCCCACAGGAATGGTCAGGACCTCTCCCACCCGTCAGCTCATCCAGGAAGTGTGCATACATTCATCTGCCATCATTCCCTGAGTCCCAGTGCAGGGGGAGGAAAGAGGAAGCATCTGAATGGCTTTCTCTAGAGCAGCCAGCTTGTCCTAGACAACTCCGCCCCTGGGGTGAGAAACCTTAAGAGTTGCTCTGAGTAAACCTTTCCTCCTCACTTACCTCTGCTTCTGGATGTTTCTCCGCAGCCCAGTAGGCCCAGAGCAAGCCTGGAGGGAGGCAGCTGTGATGGGAACCCACCCAGAGGCCCCCCGCCTGTGCCGGGCCCCCTGGCTCCTGGGATTCACCAGCCTCCTACTCAGTGAGTGGCCCGGGTCCCTGGGCGGGAGGCCGCTGTGCGGGGCAGGGAGGGGGGCTCCCGCGGGTCTGATGTCTGTGGGGAAGGGCCTGAAACACCAACTGTATTGTATGACACATGAGGGGCCTCTGGCTCCCAGCCGGGGCCGCCTTGCACAGGGGCCGCCCAGCCTTTGCAGCCGTGTGGGGAGGATGGGGCGGCCCAGAGGCCCCGTCGGGGCGGGGGGGACCCTGCTCTGGCCCCTGGGGCAAGAGGAGAGCCCGGAACACACCGAATTCTGTGTGACCCAGGAAGGACGGGCGGTCCCCAAAATTTTAAGGCATCTGCGCCCACTTGCTGGAAGGGTGTGGACGGAACATGGGCACTACCAGGCCCCAGGAAGGGGTGAACGGGTGACAGGAAGGTCCCCACAAGGGAACTGAAGGAAAGACTGTGTTAATGAAACCCACTGTCATTATTATTTCCCCCGAGGCCAACTGCTTTCGTGTAATAGATTAAATAAAAACAAAGGAAAACACTGAGGTCTCAGAGCTATGAATTCTGGGGAATCCTAGGAAAGCTTTTATTTCTTGTAATGTTTTGCTTGTGAGTCCCTGGCTCCCTGAGGGGTGGTGCAGGGGATCCAGGAAATTCCTGGACCAGGGGCATCTGCAAACAGAGTGTTTCTCATTAGAAAATGAGTTTTCAAGGCTTTGATACCCCTCTTACAAAAGTAATTTTGTCAACAACAAAATGTAGTCTTTCTCTTTCTTTCCATTTTAATTAACGGGAAATATGTGAAATTACACACAGTTTCCTCCTTAAACATCTGGTTTGGAAGATTATGTAGGAAAGAAAAGAAAAAAGGAAGAAAGAGGAAGGAAGAAAGGAAGGAAGGAGAAGAGATAGAACAAATGGAAAGTTTTATGTTGACTGTTGAATGAAAACTATATGTTCTTGAAATACATCCAGACTCTCTGCATCACAGCCACCTGCGCCCCTGTCTTCTGTCCTGTCCGTCTGTCCTTCCTCTCTTGGATTAGCACCGTCTGCTGATCTGAGACTCTCACCTCCTTCCTCCCACTTCGAGGTGTGTCCAGCCCTGGAGCCCACATCACCATCCAGCCCGGGGGACAGGCCTCCCCTGCAGCCTGAGGGCTGGGCCTCCTCCCTCCCTGCTTCCCTCCCTCCCAGCAGGTGCCCCAGGTCCCTGCCCTGCCAAAGCCCAACAGGCACCTGGGCCCCTTTCCCAGGAGAATAGCTGGGGCTTCAGAGCCCAGAGCTGCTGGGGCCCGCTGAGCAGACAGCAGGTCTGCAGGGAGAGCCCCTGTGCAGGGCGGGGGAGGGCAGGGCAGGGGAGGGTAGGGGAGAGCAGGGCAGGGGAGGGCTGCAGGCAGCTCCCTGCAGGAGAAGCACTGGGCTGGGGCAGAGGGAAGCCGGCCCCAGGTCTGGCTCTGTCTTTCATGACCCAGGAGAGGTTTCCCTGGGATGGAGCCCGCTCCTCTGGGACGGGTCCCCTCAAAGGCCCTCCCTGCTGTGGCATCCTGCGACAGGTGCCCCCACCTGAATGTGACTGCCCGGGGCTTCCCAGGGTTGCGCTCTCTGTCTCCATCCTGTCCTTGTCCTGGGTGCTCACAGGGACGGACAGCTGAGGACCTTTCAAAACCAGGAGCCCAGCCTTTCCACTGTCAGTTCCTCAGCCCCTGGCTCCCTGCCTCCAGGCAAAATGCATCCTATCTTTGATGTTCGGCCCACATCATGACCCTGTGATGTCTCTGTCCCTGCTTCTGAGCAGGTCTTCAAGATCCCATGTGAAGGACAGCAGCCCCTTCCTGGGGGTTTGCACACTCGGTCTACACAACAGGCTCAGGGCCTGAGCCACAGCTACAGGCCACAAGGAGCCGCAAACCGAGGCCCGGCCAGAGCCGTGCAGCCCCGCCTGCGCTCAGTGGAAAATGCCCCCCTCCTTCTCCCTGCTCCCTGTTGCCGGCCCCCTCTCACCAGCCGGCTCTGGGGGACTGAGTCCGTCACCGTTGGCTCAGAATTGCTGGTGAACAGCCCTAGGGGAGGTACCGCACTGGGGCTGAACCACTGTCCTCCCGGGAGCCCAGCACACAGTCCGCATCCCCAACCCCTCACCCTCCTTGGAGCAGGGACTGTTTCTCAGACTTCACTGAAGTTGCACCAAGGTTTGCCTGTTTCCACATTAGTTTAGCCCTGACTGTGTTGGCTGGGGTGCTGACTTGGGGTCGCACCTGATGCTTTATTCGGCTCAGGCTTTCCTGAGGGAGCCAGCAGGGGGTGAGGGTCCAGGCAGAGAAAGAGTTAGCTGCTCCCCTTCCAGGCCAGCAAGGAACTCCAAGTGCACTTACCCATTTCTGTGTTCGCCCACAATGTAGGTGTTTACAGCTGCCTGAATGAACACACACGCCCTGGGGTGTGACATGATTCCAGCCTCACTCCAGGTTCATGCCCTGTCCCGCCCTTCCCTCCCCCCCACCCCCCGGGTCAAGGGATCCACTGGGTGGAGACCATTAACACAATAGGGTCTATGGTTTTCTCAGCATTCTTGATGAAACACACTCACACTTTGTGTTTCCAATGCTCTAGGCGCCTTCAGCACTGCAGTCAGGAGCTCTGGAGCCCACGGATCTGGAGTGGAGGATTCCAGAAACCAAGTGTCCCTGAAGGGGACTCAAGGAGCTTCTGTGGTGTTTCATGTGACCAGACGTCCAGAAGTACCTCCTGAAGCCAAGCTGGAGACGATTTCTTGGGCCGTTAAAAATGAGTCAAACTACATAGTCCTCCTGCACGTCTTTCCTGGGGTGGATGTTCCAGAATGGGTCAACCCCCAGGACAAGTTCAAGGAGAGGCTCCGTGTGCTCAACACAACGACCCTGAGGATTGACAAGCTGACCCTCGAGGACAGTGGGTGGTACCGGGCTCGATGCTCCTTCAGCACAGGGATAGAAAATGCCCAGTATTTCCACCTCAGTGTCTACGGTACGTGGTGGCCCCTCCCCCAGGACAGGCTTACCCCCTGCTTTGGTCCCTGGGAGTGTCCGTGGGCCCCTTGCAGGATCCCTTCCAGACCCCAGACTTCAGGCTCTGCTTCTCCCCTGAAATCAGAAGCAGCGTGTTCAGCACGAGTGGAGGCGGGGCTGAGACTCCCAGCAGGGGTGGATCCCTCGGTGCTTCAGGAAAGAAAAAGGAAAAATGGGGAGGTGGGGATTTGCAAGAACCCTTACTGTGCTCACGGGACACGTGTCCTTAACTGGTGTGGTGGCGGCTGTTGCTGCTGTCACAGATGGACCCACAGGTGTCTTAGTGCAGCCCCAGCCATGTGTGCACCTGTGTGTGGGGCAGGGTCAGCCCTGGGGCCACCGCGATGAGGGTCAGGTGAGAGCAAGGCTGTACCCCTTTCTGGAGGCTCCGGGGAAAGATCCACCTCTTTCCTGTCCCACCTTGTAGTGGTGCCGCGTCCTGGGTCAGTGGCCCCTTCCTGTACCTGCAGCTTGTCCTGCGGGCTCGGTCCTTCTGGTTCTGCATCCGTCCCGCTCTCTCATCCTCCGTCACGTCTGAGGGCCCTGTGATCCCACTGCTCCTGTCTGGGGATCCAGACCTTCCCTAGTTGACAGCCTGCTGGATCAGAGCCTCAGGTCCCCTTTGCCATGGACCCTAAGACACCTGCGGGCTCTGAGGCTTAACACATGGTCATCTTTGGGGACCCTGGTCACCAGGCACAGTCACAACCCACGTGGGGTCCTCCCCGCCCTGACCCTCCTCGTTCTCAGCACCAGCCCGAGGCCACCCTCACTCCCAGACTCCCCGGTGCAGCTCTGAACCTCCAGGGACACAGGAGACGTTCACAGGGCGGCCCTTCCTCAGACACGCAGTCAGCACCTCCCTCTGTCTCTGTCTCTGTCTCTGACCCCCTGTGGAGGGAGACATCCTGCTCCGGGGAGAGCAGCTCCTGCAGCCTCAGGTCCGTGAGGTCCCCAGAGGGCCTGTTCCCCTGTGTCTCGTTCCCCGTGGTGTCGGCAATTTCAGTGCACGTTCTAAGCATGTTTTGGGTGTCCATTCCTCGGGGACCCACTGTGTCCCCCACAGCCGCCTCTCCTGCTGGGAGCCTGGGACCCATCTCTTGGTGCCCAGGTGGCCTTCTGCACCTCAGACTTTGTGGTCCCGGCCACCATCAGAGCAGGGGGCGGGGGGGGGGCAGAACAGGACAGATCCTTCTGTCTTAGTTTTCTCTGTGGCATAGAAGACACGTCACTGTCTTAGAGTTAATGGGCTCTGGCAGGTGGGATGGAGTCTGTATTTTCTCCCAGGAGACTTTTAGTCCTGCTCAGTCTAGTGAAATCACATGCAGCTTCACTCAGTGGCTCCTTCCTTATCGTCACTTGCTGTATATTTGGGTCAAGTTGTCTCATCTGTAAAATGGACTCGCCATCCTTTGGTGAGGAGCCAGGGCGGCAGTGAGATTCCGCACGAGGAAGCAGGAGTGTGATGCTCTCCACTCACGGGACACCCTGTCCTTTGTCCCTCCTGCCCCAGAGCCCGTGCCCCGTCCCCAGGTCCTGGCCAAGATACTGTCCCTCACACGAGACTGGTGCAACGTCACCCTGGAGTGCCACACCCCGGGAGCCACAGGGGCCGTGAACGTGTCCTGGGAGAGCAAGGGCCTCCCCAGGGAGCTGGAGCAGAGAGGGGCCCCAGGACAAGCCACCAACCCCTGGACCCTGGCTCTGAACCTGCCCCTGAGCCAGCCCAGCCCCAGGGTCACCTGTGTGGTCAGCAGCCCGGTGGACCAGAAAACTGCCACCCGGGACCTCGGGGAAGTGTGTGTCCACGGTGAGTGTTCCTGCCTGAGGGGAGGGGACTCCCGGGGCTCAGGTCCCCGTGGTGAGGGTTCTGGGTTCTGTCCCCCATGTTTGTGTCACCACCTGCCACCTGTCACCCCGTCCAGGAGGCTGGCAGGTGCATCCAACTTGCTTCTGCCTTTCAGTGTCTAATCCTGCTTCTCTGCACCCCTCACCCCTGCTGCTCAGGGACACTTGCCCTGCCCACACCCACGTGATAGCTGGGTCCCAGGACATGTCCTACTCTCCTCAGTACGGGATTCTGGTAGACTGTTCCTTCGGCTGAACAACTTTCCAAGATTGGAGTCTCTCTTCCCCACTCTCTCCCATCCAAGGACCCCTTCTCTGCAGCTGCCCCGCGGGGTACGACCCTGCAGCCACGCAGGTCTGCGCACTGGGTTCACATCCATCACGCACTGACCTTGTCAGGGCCCCTCAGCCCCTTAGGCACCGGGCCCTGTGGGAGCTGCCGCTGACCTGCCCTCACGCCTCCCTCCTCTAGGGGGCGCTCAGGGCCCCACCCTGAGAGGTGCTGCTCTGGCCAAGGGTCAGTGTCCTGTGGGGCCTGGACAGCTGGGGGCGGGGCCACGGCAGCTCCTGCTGTGACCTCCTGTCCCACATGGGCCTCGGGCCGTTTGCTGCCAGTCAGGTGTCCCCGAGGGAACAGTGACCGGGGCCCCTGTGTGCCGCCTCGTCCCCACACCCCACCTCCCCCTGCTGCTGTGGACCTGCTGCAACAGCGTCCCCGAGTCCCCGAGGAGCCCATCCCTCAGCCACCCCAGACCCTCTGCAAGAGGCTCCTGCCTCCTGCTCATCCTCCTCCCTGACACCTCCCTGCCCGGGTCCTCCTCCACCTGCTGCAGGGGTGCTGGCTGCCCCCAGGGCTGGTGATTGGATGTGGCATTCCTGGTCTTGTCCCTCCTTCCATAGTCTGCTCTCCCCCGAGATCTGGTAACCTCCCTCTCCTCCCTCAAGGCTCGGTGCATCCCTCACCTCCCCCGGGAAGCCCTCCCTGAAGGCCTGCGTACCTGCTGTAAACCTCTAGTGCACCGCATGGCCCTGGCGGCTGCCTGTGCGTGTCCCAGCCCCGCCCCCGCTGACGAGCTCCTCCAGCGCGGGGACCCTGCCCTGTTCCTCTCAGCACCCGGCCCCCAGCAGGGCTCAGCACTGGTTGGTGAAAGCACCTGCCATGTCCCCCCTCTCCAGCCGAGACCCGCCCCTTCAGACGCCTCCACGTGCCTGGCAATGGGCGTCTGACGTTGTCCCTTGTTTATCCTTCTTCACCGTCCCTGAGAGGGAGAAACAGGTCCACAAGGACAGGCCGGTGCTGCTCACCTGGGAGCCATCCTGGGGGCTCTCGTGCTCGCGCTGCTGGTCCTCGGAGCTGGGCTGTACCTGCGGTGCTCACGTGGGGAGAGGAAAAGCTTGGAGCCTGGGAGAGGCAGGTGCACGTCTCCTTCCCCTGCCCACACCCCTCCCTCCCTCACTGACCCTCAGCTCCCTCCCCTGCATTTTGCTGCTCAGGGAATGTCCCCAAGGAGGCTGGTGAATGAGGGCATCACCGTGGGGGTCCTGGTGGGGGGAGGGCAAGGTTCCCAAGGCTCAGATTCAGCTCCGTGTGTGTGGGGCTCAGGTGCAGGGTCACAGGAGAAGCACAGGGACCACGGTGGTGGCGTCCTCTATGCAGAGCTCAGCAGGCCGATATCTCAGGACGGCAGGGACAAGGTGAGGCCTGGGTTCGCCCCGGTCCCTGTGAGCCTGGGTGTGAGTTGGTCAAACCCACTCATCTGCACTTTCTGGCTTCCTGTTTGTCTCCCTTCCAGCCATGCAGTATTAACACGGGTCCATGCAGTGCTGGGCGCTGTGGGGGGAGGTCATGTGAGCAGCTCGGCATCTGTGGGGTCCCTCTGGGGTCTCTCTGTCCCTCAGTTGTGGCAGGAACCCTCTGTCCACATTCCAGGGATCGGAGGAACCGCATCGAGAACAAGAGAGGCTCATCAGCACTATCTACACTGAGGTCCGCATGCCAGGGCAGGTCATGATGGAGATTTAATTGGAAGAAGCAGGGGATCCAGCTTCTGGCGACACTGCTGATGTGAGTGTGAAGCCTGCAGCCCTGGTCCCGCCCCTCCCCCCCGACTGCTCTGAGCAGGGACAGATTTAGCCGACATCGGTTATTTCCACACGAAGTGCCTGTGCACAAGTTCACCGGAGGGCCCAGGTCGTGGTAGATCAAGGGGGACCTGAGTATGTAAATGGGTCCAAACCTGTGTTCCAGGCCCACTCAGCCTCAGTTCCTTGGCCTCCCTACACAGACCCCAGGCTCCCCAGATGACAACATCAGTCTGTCAGAAACATCAGTCTCTGTGACAAAGGCATCATGAAGTCACAACATCCAGCCTCATCCAGTTAAATTCTCCCAGCTGTCAGGATGTGTGTTCTCTCTCTGTCTCTGTCTCAAAACTTAATACATAACACTTAAAAATAAAAAAGATGAAATATCTAAGATCTACTCTGGCTTTGTAATTTCAATGTTAATTTAAAGAAGTGTGTTGTTTACGGGGACTTGGCTCCTCTCTCAGCAGTTTCCCCACCCGCCCCTCCCACTCCGTCTATACTGGCCCATCCTCTGCTGGTCAGCGGCCAGCCCTCCTCTCTCCCCAGGGGACCCCAGCTAAGCCCTGGTGGGAGCCTGGCTGTGCTGAGGCCACGTCTCAAGTCCTGACCCGACACCCTCCCGTGGCTCCTGATGGTCATCTGCCCTTGGAAGCCAGAGAGGACCTGCAGGAAACGGAATTCTTGCCTCCGGGGCCTCCCCCTGCCCCTCCCTGGCCTCTACCTCGGCTCTGATCATATTTCCACCTGGATCAGGTGCCACCACCCACTCGCTTCAGCCAAACACCTAAAGTCCCCTTTGCTTCTTCGTTTGTTCCACTCTGGCATCCACAGCACAGGCAGCTGGTGTGTCTAAAATCAGCCCTCTCTCTGCGCGACCTCCTCACTGAACCCCGCATCCTACTGCAGTGCACGGCCCCAACCTCCTTCCTATCTGCAGACTAGCAGGTCCAGAACCTGGACCAGTCCCTGGTACTGCCTTGTCCCCAACCTACTTGTGGGGCTGGCCTGTGGGTGTCCCCTCCGCAGCATTGTGGAGCCTGAGAGGCTGACCTATCAGTAGCATCCAGGCAGGGGATGGATGAACTTGAAGAGGAAAGCCTGAGGCCCTGAGGACACCCCACCTCCAGCTATGGAATCTCTGGTCCTGGGACATTGGATGCTCTGGACACATAGCACGTTCAGGCTGATCTCTGCCCTATTCTTGGCCTCAGGCCAGCCAGTGAGTGTAAGCAAACTGTCGCTCTGAGCCCATTTCCCCAGTCATCTGGGGACTCCCACTGACCTCTGCTCTTCAGGTCTTAGGGGTGAGGCCAGAGGCCCAGAGAGCCAGGTGTGGTGGGGGCAGGAGAGAGATGGAGGTCCTGAGGGTCATGGGTGGGAGAGACCCAGGCTGAGCCCCGCCTGCCGCGCCCAGTCCTGACTGTCCCTGTGGACAGCACTCCAGCAGGGAGGTGCCTGGTGGGTGTGGCCTGGACCCATGTGCTAGTAAGGTATGTGTGGCAGCAACACCCTCCGCCTCCCTCTTGCACCCCCAGTGTGGCCACAGAGCAGGGCGAGAGGGGGGCATGTCCACATGGGGCTCAACCTGAGGCACCCTGGAATTGGGGTGGGAGAGGAGGGTCCCAGTTAGCCAACCCTTTCATCAAGCGCCTCAGTTTCCCCTTCCTGAGGCTCTTGCAATTGGAGAGAGGCAAACCCTGTGAGTGGTGGAGGGGCATGACACATTTCCCAGTGTCTCTGGCAGGTTAAAGGCCACCTGTCACCTCCACTCCTCCCTACTCTCTGCTCTGTCCTCTCCCCTCCCCCTTGCCAAACACCATTTTTTCAAAGAGCCTCTGGAGACCCACAGCAGCAAACACCCTGGGACAGGCAAGAGCCCCCCAGGAGCCTGGCAGACACGCTGACTGTGCACCCTGCTCTTGCCCAGGCCGCCCTGGGCCACCCTTCCTCATCGCCCCCCTCCCCACCCCGCCGCCCCTACACACCAGGCTGGCCGCCCCAAGGGCTCTTCCCAGGGACCAGCCAGAGACAGTCGCGGAGAACCAGGCAGCGAGGCTGGGGAGCGTCCTGAGCACGGCTGGGCTGCTGTAAGGGCAGGGTGCTGGGTCAGGGGCTTCCCTGAGTCCCAGCCTCATCAGGTGCAGGGCTTGCCTGTGAAGCTATGTGCGCAGCGCCCCCTGGTGGAAGACGTTGCAAGGACGGCCACACATAGCCCTGTGTCCCAGCCCCGCCCTCAGGGCCCCGGGGAACAGGTCCCTCCTGGACACTGCAGAGCGGACAGCACAGCCCTCCCTCCGGCCCAGGCCAGGGCAGCTCCGCTCAGAGTCGGGTCTGAGAAAGGAGTTCAGGAGCCCAGTTCTATCCCGGAGCCCGGGGCGTGCCTCCCACCTGTCCCCTGGTGTCTCACCTGCCCAGCAGGCGGTGGGTCACGGGGCAGCTCTGAGGCCCTTCTGGCCCTGGGGTCCCGGGTCTCTAGGTCAGGATGGAGTTGACTTTGCTCCCTGGTACCTCTTTGATCTTAGTCTCCTACCTGTCTTGCCTGGGCTCACGTAGGTTCTGGGCACCTGACCCCTCCCTCCTGGAACACGACAGGCCTGGTCCCACCTGAGGCCATGACACAGCCATCACCTTCCCCAGGCAGGCAGTTCCCCAGATGTCCAGGGTCACTCCTCACCTCCTGCGGGTCTGTCTCAGAGGTGTGCTTGGTGACCCCTGTTCTGACCTCCCGGTGTGACCCTGAAGCCATATTCCCAGGTCCTGAGCCTCCCCAGCTGCTCTTTTCTCCAGAGCCCCGCTCCCCTTCTGCGTTGAGGGCACAGCCCAGGGCCTGTCTCCTCCTGGGACAGTGAGGGAGCAGAGCCTGTGCTAGGAGCTTCCTGGACCTGCCTGTGCACCTGTCCCAGGGGCTGGCACACAGCAGGCGCTCATGAGCAGGTCATGGAAGGAAGGAGTCCACCGTCCGGGAGGATCTGGGTTGGGGGCCCACAGTCCCCCCTCAACAGCTCACATCAGTGCATCCATGGGGTCCCGCTGCTGGGACCAGATAGGGCTCAACAGAAAGGAGCAGCTTGTCCATGAGCTGCCCTGTGGGGGGGGGCTGGTAGGGAGAACACGGCCCCCCAGGCCGCTGTCACTCACCGTGTCCATTAAGGGGCACCCGATTTACCTGCATCGGGATTCTCAGTGCGACCCAGGGGGGTGGGTTCTGAGAGACCCTCCTCCACATCGGGGGTGGGGCCCGCAGGTCAGAGGAATGTGGGAAATGTGGGGACAGATCCCTCCTGAGATACTCACACTCCCTACTCCCGCGAAATCATGGGTAATGCTTTAATCTGGATTTCACAGCGTGTGTGATCAGGAAATTCTCATTCCTGTCTCCAGGAGCAGAGGTCCCATGAACCTCCTGCGAAATTAGCGTCTGATCGTCAGCTGCTCTGGGAAACGGCCTCTTACAGGACAAAGCTTAGCACTGAGCTGGGCCCCCAGGCCTGTGCGTCCCTTCCAGTCTCTCCGCCTTGCTTCTCCTTCCCGTGTATTCTCTGTGAGCCCCTGGGCTTTTCAACCACGCCCACCCCTGGAGCCAACCTCCGAAGTCAGCCCTCACCCCCTCCCCTCACCCCTGCCTGTGTGCTGCCTCCCCTCCCACCCCACCCCATCCCGTCTCTCTACTTATCCACCTGGGTGAGGTGTGTCTCTGCTCCCCACCCCCTGTGAACCTGCTGCTGCCTTGAGGGGGGGCCCTGGGGCCCGGGGGGCACCGGAGCTGCGGCTGGGGAGCAGGACGATCGGCCTCTAATGGAAGCACGTGCACATCTCGCGTCCGCAGCCTGGGGAGGGACAGCGGCTCCTTCATGCTCTGGAACAAGAGGGCCCGCTGCCCCTCCGGTTCCCCCAGGACCCCCGAATCCTTTGTATTTTCTTCCTCATAGATAATATATCCACAGAGTGTAGAGGACTCACCACCCCAAATATGACGGGATTTTCAGGATTCATATTCAGGGATAAGTGTAGAAATTCAGAAAAAGGTCAAACAAGAGGGTCAGAAACCTGCTACACATGTTTAAGTCACTGGTGTTCTAGAAACAGAAGAAGAGTGAGTAGCAAGAAGTGTAAAGAGTAGGGGTGCCCGTGTGGCTCATGCTGTTAACTGTCAGGCTCACGGTTTCAGGTTAGGTCATGATCTCACGATTCGTGTGTTCAAGACTTTAATCGGGCTCTGTGTGCTGACAGCGCAGAGCCTGCCTGTGATTCTGTCTCTCCCTGTCTCTCTGCCCCTCCCCCCCATGCTCTTTCTCAAATAAATAAATAAACGAACATAAAAAACATTAAAGGAAAGAAGTGTAAATAGTTAAGAGCATGTTTCTCATCACTCACGTCTGTAATATTCCCAAGGGGAACCACAGAACTACTGGGAACGGTTTGTGTTCTAAAGTTGTCCACAGTGTTCTCTGTTCACCACCTTCCCACTTGTGAGAATAACACCGAGAGAGCACAGTGTAAACCTAGAGGTGAAAGAATTAGAGAAACACCAACGTGAGCAGCAGGGTCAGGACGGCCGCCCCGGCCCCCAGGAGTCCCCGGGTGTCCTCAGGAATCCCAGAGTCCCGGCCCCGGGCTGAAGCCCCTGCCCGTCTCTGTCCGGCGTGACCACCTCCGCAGGCAGCACAACGGGGCGGCTGACGCGGCCCGGGTGGGGGTCACACAGGGCGTCACAGAGCCTGTGGTCTGTCGTCCGTGGCTCCCCCCACGCGGCGGCCCCGGCCCTGCTCCCCGCGTGTCCCGGTGCAGGTGCTGCGCGTCTGTAGAGCAGGTGTGAGGAGCAGACCCGCGGAGCCGCAGGGGCTCCTGGAGAAGGTGGGGGGCCCCCTGCGCAGGGCCCTGCGGGGGGAGGGGACCCTCCATGCCTGCTCCCCGCCCCCCCTCCCCATGGTGAGGGCGGGGCTCCACTGGGAGGCGGGATCTCCCCACTGCCTGCTCCCTCTGCAGATCTGACCTGCCTCCCAGCCCCTCCTCCCACCGGAGATCGGCCCCAGCCTGGAGCCACATTTGTTTCCGTGTCTCGGGCTCCCTCCCTTCCTGGTGTCCCTGTGCACCCGCCTGCCCCCCATCAGGTCACACTGTCCCCCTCCCTGGAGCCACCTTCCTGTTGAACGAAAACGCTGAGGCCCTCTCACCGAGGCTCCCACAGGCTTCCTTGAGCGCATTTTGCTTCTATCCCCCGCCAGCCTGGGCGCTGCTCTAGGACAAGGACTTAGATACCTGTCGCTGCTCCCCTGTGCTGCACACAGTAGGCGCTCATGACCTGTGTGTGCAGCTGAGCTGATGGTGGAGGGCTTCTGGGCAGGAAGTCTCCGGCGGCAGTTCTGTCCTCGGCCGCCAGGTGGCGGTGATGCCTGTGCTCAGGGCTGGGAGGGAGGATGCTCAGGGAGGCTTGGGGGGCTCAGGTGGGGCTGAGGGGGCGGGGCCGCGGAACTTCTCCCTTTGACCCCAGACCCACCACAGGGCAGAAGGGGGAGATTAGCGCCAGCGACACTGGGAGGGGTAGCAGGTCCAGGGGGCGGAGGTGTAGACGTAAATGTGCAGCCAGGACTCAGGGATCAGGAGCCAAATCTGGAAGGTAGGAGCCCTAGAGAGCCGTGGGGGGCGAGGTCCTGGTGTAGGAGGGGTGCGGGCTGGGGACGAGGGCGGGGATCTGAGGTCCAGGGCTGTGATTGGGGAGGGGGAGGGTTATCAGGGGCTGGGGACGGGGTGGGTTACCTGGGAAAGGGGGATCCCTTGAGGATCCTCAGTCTGAGACTCAAGGTCCAGATCCAGGTTTCTGGGGTGAAACAGCCTGGAGGGGAGAGTGGGGTTCCTGCCCCACCCCCTGAGACACACCCTGAGGGTGAGGGCAGAACCCCGGGAGGGAGATGGGACGCAGGGGTCCCCTGAGGTGGCAGGTCATTGGGGGTAATAACTGATCCTGAGAGAAGGTTTTGCTGCCTGGAAGGAGCCTACCTTGAGGACTGAGGAAAGGCGCCCCGGTCAACAGCACACCCCGCTCCCCGGTGAGGCCTCTGTCACCCTGTCCATCCCTGCCTGCTCCCCTCTCTGGGCCGTTTTCTCTCTGGTGGTGCAGCCATCCCTGTCAGTCAGGTGGAGAGGCTCTGAGATGCAGGATGGGTGGTCTAGTGACACTGCAGAGCTCTTCCTACCTGCCCACCCTTCTCTCTGCCAGGAGACCCCCATCCCCCCTGGTCTCTCCCAGGAGCACCCCCATCTCACCTGGACCCCCTGGAGCACAGCTGCAGTCCCTGACCACCTTCCTCCTCCTGCTGAAGGACCCTGGGCAAGTCACCTGCCTCTGTTCACGTAACATTTCTCCTGAGCCCAGATAGGATGCTAACAGACTGATCTCTTCAACCTGTTCATGGGGTGAATGAAAAAAACACATGAATCGGTGCCTAGCATTGTGTGCTCAACAAAGAGTACCTATATTATTTTTTTCAAGTTTATTTCTTCATTTTGAGGGGGAGAAAGAGTCAGAGAGAGAGAGAGCAGGTGAGGGACAGAGAGAGGAAGAGAGAATCCCAGGCAGGCTCAGTGCTGTCATCCCAGAACCCAATGCAGGTTTAGAACCCATGAACCCATGAGATCATGAACTAATCTGAGGTCAGGAGTCCAATGCCCAACCGACTGATCCACCAGGTGCCTCCAATAGCACCTATATTAAAGAGGAAGTCTAGGGGCACCTGGCTGGCTGATCAGTGGAGAGTGTGACTCTTGATCTGGGTGGGACGTGGTGTCGACCACAGCCATGAGGGGTGTGAGTCTACTTCTAACATGTTGTCTAAAGATTGTTGGCTGAAATTTTATGCGGTTAGTTTAAAATATGTTTTTTTAAGAGACAGGCAGAGCGAGCGTGTACCTAGAGCAAGTAGGGGCGGTGAAAGAGGAGGAGAGAATCCCAAGCAGGCTCCATGCTGTCAGTGCTCAGAGCCCAACACCAGGCTGGATCTCAGGAACTGAGAGATCATGTCTAGTGTGGGTATCAAGGGCCTGATACTAAACAGACTGAGCAACACAGGTGCACCTGTTGCCTCAAATGTTCAAAGATGAATGACACAGAGAAAATAAATCATTCCATGTCTCGCTGGAAGACAGCTCCTGATGACAAATATCAGGTTATACACATACGGTTTAAAACTGGAGCAAATGTGCCCAGAAAAAGAGTCTCCCATCTGCCTTTAAATCCCCAGCCCTGCTTCTCCATTTTCTCACAGTTCATTGTAGCTACTGTGTTTCTCAAAGCTTCTTTCTATCAATAATCTCGATACATCAGTGTTTCATTGTACCACTAAGTAACGTCAACATCAATTCTAAGATGTATGCTAATCTCGGAAATGTGCAACATGCAACAAACATCTGCCCTGGTCGGCCCTCCTCTCCCCTGAGCCCCAGGGGCAGCCTCTGGACTGCAGCCTCCTTTCCAGGCGTGTCTCGGACTCTCTCTTTTGGTCTCACTTCCAGCTGCCTCCATGACCCTCACCCCCTGTGCCCTGTGGCCTTTCCCCACCTCCCCACCTACCTGACCTGCACCTGGGCTAAGGTGTAAGGAAAGTCCTCACTTGTCCCTCAGGTTGTCCAGACTGTTCCCTCGACCACTCCCTAGGTAATGGTGTCAGTCCCCTGAGGTGTGTCCTGGCCCCTGTGTCCCACCCCCCCTGCTGGAAGATGACACCTGAAGGGATGCTTCTGTCTCCTGACCTGTTACTCACATGAGGCCATTCCCTTAGAAATGGAGGGGAGAACTCAAAGGAGTCATAACACATTGCCAGGACAAGAGTCAGGTACCTATGAAGAGGCTCCTAGGAAGACTGTTTTCATCTCAGAATGTCTTGGTCTAGTTCTGGGATGTGGGATATTATAGGGGTGCAGGGGGGTACCGATCAGCATCTTCTCCATGACCTTGGGAATTTACAGTTGAAACAAACCTCCTGATGGGGGCGGGGCGCCTGGCCATCTTGTCAGCATGTAGAACTGGGGTCTCTACAGTCCAAGAGGGGGAGCCTCAGAAGTTGTCGGGATTTCCCCCGTCTGCACAGGCTCCTAGCACTTACCAAGTCAGGAGGGCCGAGCCACTTCCTCAGGCTTGAGGCCACCAGATGGCCACCTGGAGGAGAGGCCAGAAAGCTGTGGAGCATCCCTGACACCCCCTGTAAACATCACTTCAAGGATCCCCTGGAAGACCTGCGTTCCTTCCAGAAACTGAGAATTAGAGGCACACTAATGGGGCTGGACTCCTGGGGCCTCAGGTGCAAAGGCATGGGCTGACCTGTAGGTGCGGGGTGCCTTGGGGAGCACGTGTCACAGGCCGAGGTGTTCTTTGAGGCAAAAAAGGCCAAAATGGCCTTGTGCTGCCTGTTTGCCAAGTGTGAGCAATTCCCCATCATGACCTCAGTGGACTTGGCCCAGAAGGACTTGCCAAAGTTTCTCTTGACCATGGGCTGAGTGGCCCGGGGCCTCCTCCCTGCCCGTTGGCCTCTCCATGGTTCTGTGAGTTCAAAGGGAAACGACATATATCTACCATTATAGTAGCACCCAGGGTATTTTCACTGCCCTAAAATCCTGCATTTCCCGTGCTCATGACTCCTCCCCCAACCCCGGGAATACGCTGATGTTTTTACTATTTCCACAACTTTGCCTTTTGAAGCACCTAGGGGTTCTGATAGTTAAGTGTCTGACTCTTGATTTCTGCTCAGGTCATGTTCACACAGATAATGGGTTCGAGCCCTGCATTGGATTCTGTGCTGGCAGCCCTGAGACTGCTTGGAATTCGTTCTCTCCCTCTCGCTCTCTTGGTCTCTCGCTCTCTCTCAATCTTTCTGTCTCTCCCTCTGCCTCTCCACTGGTGCTCTCTCTCTCTCAAAAGATATAAATAAACAACAAATTAATTTGCCTTTTCCAGAATGTCATGTAGTTGGAATCATCCAGTGTGTACCCTTCACATTGGTGTCTTTCATGTGGTAACATGCATTTAAGTTCGCTGGGAGTCTTTTCATGCTTTGATAGTTTGTTTCTTTTTAGAGCTGGTGATGTTCCCTTGTCTGGTTTGACCAGTTTATTTATTTATTCATCGAGTGCAGGAGCACTTGATGCTTCCAGGTCTTGGAAATTATGAAAAAAGTTGCTAAATACATCTAGATGGAGGTTTTAGTGTGAAAAAGGTTTTCTTTTTTTTTTAATATTTTTATTAATTTCTAGGAGAGAGAGAGAGACAGCGTGAGCAGGGGAGGGTCAGAGAGAGAGGGAGACACAGACTCTGAAAAAGGCTCCAGGCTCAGAGCTGGCAGTCAGCACAGAGCCCGACGCGGGGCTCAAACCCACGAACCGCGAGATCATGACCTAAGCAAAAGTCAGACGCTTAACCGACTAAGCCACCCAGGCGCCCCAGTGTGAACAAGGTTTTCAACTCCTTTGGGTAATTACCCAGGAGGGAGGTTGCTGGATTGTATAGTAGGAACATGTTGAGGTTTGTAAGAAACCACCAGACCATGTTCCAAAGCGGTGGTGCAATGGTGTGTCCCTGTCGCAGGAGAGCTCCTGGGACGGCGCCTCCTCACCAGCACTGGGGGAGACGGTGCTCACATTGTGGGTGTACTAACAGGTGCAGGCCGTCTCATTGCTTCCGTTTACATTTCCCTGAGGACATGTGATGTGGGGCATCTTTCCTGTGCTTCTCTTCCATCTCTGTATCCTCTTTAGTGAGGTGTCTTTTAGTGCCTTGGGCCTCTGTTTTGATTGTGTTGTTGGTTTCCTTATTGTTGAGTTTTCAGAGCTCTTTATATATGTTGGCTAACACTTCTTTATCAGATAAGCCTTTTGCAGATTTTTTTCTCCCAGTCTGTGGTTTGTCTTTGCCTTCCTGTGATTGTCTTTGCAGAACAGAAGTGTTTCATTTCACTGAATTCCTGCTTATCTCATCTTTCATTCATGAATTCAGCCTTTCGTGTCTTTCTGAAACATATTTTTGAGTCCCAAGAACATCTAGATTTCTCCTATGTTGTCCTGTAGGAGTTTCCCAATTCTTCATTTATGTGGAGGTCAGTGATTAATGGACTTAATTTTTGTGAAGGGTGTGAGCTCTGTGTCCTGGTTCTTTTTATTTTTTATTTATTTATTTTTTTTTCTGCACAGGGTGTTCTGTCTGGTTGTTCCAGCATCATTTGTTGAAGAGACTGTCTTTCATCCATGGTACTGCCTTTGTTCCTTGTCAAAGAGCAGTTCACCAAATGTACGTGAGTCTATTTTTGGGCTCTCTTCTGTTTCATGTTCTATTTGGCTCTTGGCTCATCTCTCTCCAAATCTGTACTGTCTTGATGATTGTAACTTTATAGGAGGTCTTGAGGGAGAGGGGATGTGGGCCAACCACCTTCACTCTTCAGCAACATGGTGTGGATCCTCTGAGTCATTTTCTTTCCATGCAAACTGTAGAATCACGTGATCAATATCTCCACCATTACCTGCTGGGATGTAGATTGTTTTTGAGCTAATGGACTGACACGTTGGGAAGAATGAATATCTAGACAATAATGAGCCTTCTTACCCATGAACATGGTCTATCTCTGCATGTATTTAGAGTTCTCTGGTTTTGTTTGAGAGTCTTGTAGTTTTCCTCATAAAGATCTTTGAATATTTTGATCAATTGGGGCCTAAATAGTTCACTTTTTGGTTTTCAGTGTAAACTGTACTGTGTTTTCAGTTTCTTTTTTTTTTTTTTTAAATATTTTTTAATGTTTTATTTATTTCTAGGAGAGAGAGAGAGAGACAGCGTGAGCAGGGGAGGGTCAGAGAGAGAGGGAGTCACAGACTGAAACAGGCTCCAGGCTCCGAGCTGGCAGTCAGCACAGAGCCCGACGCGGGGCTCGAACCCACGAACCGCG